GAAAAATAACCAATCTCACAGTTTGGGGCTTTTTACCCGTGAATCTTCACTTTGCGACTAAACTATTCACAGCAATGCCAAATTTTTGGGGTCACTGAATGTGGGTGCCAGCGCCCTACAAGCAAACCAAAAATCAAATCAATGCGACCACTGACATCACAGCTGGGTCATGTTATAGAGAGGTACATTGAAATTCAAAGGTCAGCACAAATGGTCAAAATCCGACATTTTCTCACCTTCCTGCCCGTTCACAGCTCAGAAAATGACAATGACCAGCCTCATCTTGTTAGCAGCTGGACATAGACAAGTGCACCAAGAAAAAGAGCCACATTTCTCTAAAGAACTTGCCCAGGGCTGCTGAGAGCTGAAAAATAACCAATCTCACAGTTTGGGGCTTTTTACCCGTGAATCTTCACTTTGCGACTAAACTATTCACAGCAGTGCCAAATTTTTTGGGTCACTGAATGTGGGTGCCAGCGCCCTACAAGCAAACCAAAAATCAAATCAATGCTACCACTGACATTACAGCTGGGTCATGTTATAGAGAGGTACATTGAAATTCAAAGGTCAGCACAAATGGTCAAAATCCGACATTTTCTCACCTTCCTGCCCGTTCACAGCTCAGAAAATGACAATGACCAGCCTCATCTTGTTAGCAGCTGGACATAGACAAGTGCACCAAGAAAAAGAGCCACATGTCTCTAAAGAACTTGCCCAGGGCTGCTGGAAGCTGAAAAATAATGAATCTCACAGTTTGGGGCTTTTTACCCGTGAATCTTCACTTTGCGACTAAACTATTCACAGCAGTGCCAAATTTTTTGGGTCACTGAATGTGGATGCCAGCGCCCTACAAGCAAACCAAAAATCAAATCAATACGACCACTGACATTACAGCTGGGTCATGTTATAGAGAGGTACATTGAAATTCAAAGGTCAGCACAAATGGTCAAAATCCGACATTTTCTCACCTTCCTGCAGGGTCATAGCTCAGAAAATGACAATGACCAGCCTCATCTCGTTGTGCAGCTGGACATAGACAAGTGCACCTAGAAAAAGAGCCACATTTTTCTAAAGAACTTGCCCAGGGCTGCTGAAAGCTGAAAAATAACCAATCCCACAGTTTGGGGCTTTTTACCCGTGAATCTTCACTTTGCGACTAAACTATTCACAGCAGTGCCAAATTTTCTGGGTCACTGAATGTGGGTGCCAGCGCCCTACAAGCAAACCAATAATCAAATCAATGCGACCACTGACATTACAGCTGGGTCATGTTATAGAGAGGTACATTGAAATTCAAAGGTCAGCACAAATGGTCAAAATCCGACATTTTCTCACCTTGCTGCCCGTTCACAGTTTAGAAAATGACAATGACCAGTCTCATCTCGTTGTGCAGCTGGAAATAGACAAGTGCACCAAGAAAAAGAGCCACATTTATCTAAAGAACTCGCCCAGGGCTGCTGAGCCCTGAAAAATAACCAATCTCACAGTTTGGGGCTTTTTACCCGTGAATCTTCACTTTGCGACTAAACTATTCACAGCAGTGCCCCATTTTCTACGTCACCGAATGTGGGTGCCAGCGCCCTACAAGCAAACCAAAAATCAAATCAATGCGACCACTGACATTACAGCTGGGTCATGTTATAGAGAGGTACATTGAAATTCAAAGGTCAGCACAAATGGTCAAAATCCGACATTTTCTCACCTTCCTGCCCGTTCACAGCTCAGAAAATGACAATGACCAGCCTCATCTCGTTGTGCAGCTGGACATAGACAAGCGCACCAAGAAAAAGAGTCACATTACTCTAAAGAACTTGCCCAGGGCTGCTGAAAGCTGAAAAATAACCAATCTCACAGTTTGGGGCTTTTTACCCGTGAATCTTCACTTTGCGACTAAACTATTCACAGCAGTGCCACATTTTTGGGGTCACTGAATGTGGGTGCCAGCGCCCTACAAGCAAACCAAAAATCAAATCAATGCGACCACTGACATTACAGCTGGGTCATGTTATAGAGAGGTACATTGAAATTCAAAGGTCAGCGCAAATGGTCAAAATCCGACATTTTCTCACCTTCCTGCCCGTTCACAGCTCAGAAAATGACAATGACCAGCCTCATCTCGTTGTGCAGCTGGACATAGACAAGTGCACCAAGAAAAAGAGCCACATTTCTCTAAAGAATTTGCCCAGGGCTGCTGAAAGCTGAAAAATAACCAATCTCACAGTTTGGGGCTTTTTACCCGTGAATGTTCACTTTGCGACTAAACTATTTACAGCAGTGCCAAATTTTCTGGGGCACTGAATGTGGGTGCCAGCGCCCTACAAGCAAACCAAAAATCAAATCAATGCGACCACTGACATTACAGCTGGGTCATGTTATAGAGAGGTACATTTAAATTCAAAGGTCAGCACAAATGGTCAAAATCCGACATTTTCTCACCTTCCTGCCCGTTCACAGCTCAGAAAATGACAATGACCAGCCTCATCTCGTTGTGCAGCTGGAAATAGACAAGTGCACCAAGAAAAAGAGCCACATTTCTCTAAAGAACTTGCCCAGGACTGCTGAAAGCTGAAAATAACCAATCTCACAGTTTGGGGCTTTTTACCCGTGAATCTTCACTTTGCGACTAAACTATTCACAGCAGTGCCACATTTTCTGGGTCACTGAATGTGGATGCCAGCGCCCTAGAAGCAAACCAAAAATCAAATCAATGCGACCACTGACATTACAGCTGGGTCATGTTATAGAGAGGTACATTGAAATTCAAAGGTCAGCACAAATGGTCAAAATCCGACATTTTCTCACCTTCCTGCCCTTTCACAGCTCAGAAAATGACAATGACCAAACTCATCTCGTTGTGCAGCTGGACATAGACAAGTGCACCAAGAAAAAGAGCCACATCTCTCTAAAGAACATGCCCAGGGCTGCTGAAAGCTGAAAATAACAAATCTCACAGTTTGGGGCTTTTTACCCGTGAATCTTCACTGTGCGACTAAACTATTCACAGCAGTGCCAAATTTTCTAGGTCACTGAATGTGGGTGCCAGCGCCCTACAAGCAAACCAAAAATCAAATCAATGCGACCACTGACATTACAGCTGGGTCATGTTATAGAGAGGTACATTGAAATTCAAAGGTCAGCACAAATGGTCAAAATCAGACATTTTCTCACCTTCCTGCCCGTTCACAGCTCAGAAAATGACAATGACCAGCCTCATCTCGTTGTGCAGCTGGAAATAGACAAGTGCACCAAGAAAAAGAGCCACATTTCTCTAAAGAACTTGCCCAGGACTGCTGAAAGCTGAAAATAACCAATCTCACAGTTTGGGGCTTTTTACCCGTGAATCTTCACTTTGCGACTAAACTATTCACAGCAGTGCCACATTTTTGGGGTCACTGAATGTGGGTGCCAGCGCCCTACAAGCAAACCAAAAATCAAATCAATGCGACCACTGACATTACAGCTGGGTCATGTTATAGAGAGGTACATTGAAAATTCAAAGGTCAGCGCAAATGGTCAAAATCCGACATTTTCTCACCTTCCTGCCCGTTCACAGCTCAGAAAATGACAATGACCAGCCTCATCTCGTTGTGCAGCTGGACATAGACAAGTGCACCAAGAAAAAGAGCCACATTTCTCTAAAGAATTTGCCCAGGGCTGCTGAAAGCTGAAAAATAACCAATCTCACAGTTTGGGGCTTTTTACCCGTGAATGTTCACTTTGCGACTAAACTATTTACAGCAGTGCCACATTTTCTGGGGCACTGAATGTGGGTGCCAGCGCCCTACAAGCAAACCAAAAATTAAATCAATGCGACCACTGACATTACAGCTGGGTCATGTTATAGAGAGGTACATTTAAATTCAAAGGTCAGCACAAATGGTCAAAATCCGACATTTTCTCACATTCCTGCCCGTTCACAGCTCAGAAAATGACAATGACCAGCCTCATCTCGTTGTGCAGCTGGAAATAGACAAGTGCACCAAGAAAAAGAGCCACATTTCTCTAAAGAACTTGCCCAGGACTGCTGAAAGCTGAAAATAACCAATCTCACAGTTTGGGGCTTTTTACCCGTGAATCTTCACTGTGCGACTAAACTATTCACAGCAGTGCCAAATTTTCTAGGTCACTGAATGTGGGTGCCAGCGCCCTACAAGCAAACCAAAAATCAAATCAATGCGACCACTGACATTACAGCTGGGTCATGTTATAGAGAGGTACATTGAAATTCAAAGGTCAGCACAAATGGTCAAAATCAGACATTTTCTCACCTTCCTGCCCGTTCACAGCTCAGAAAATGACAATGACCAGCCTTATCTCGTTGTCCAGCTGGAAATAGACAAGTGCACCAAGAAAAAGAGCCACATTTCTCTAAAAAACTTGCCCAGGACTGCTGAAAGCTGAAAATAACCAATCTCACAGTTTGGGGCTTTTTAACCGTGAATCTTCACTTTGCGACTAAACTATTCACAGCAGTGCCACATTTTCTGGGTCACTGAATGTGGATGCCAGCGCCCTAGAAGCAAACCAAAAATCAAATCAATGCGACCACTGACATTACAGCTGGGTCATGTTATAGAGAGGTACATTGAAATTCAAAGGTCAGCACAAATGGTCAAAATCCGACATTTTCTCACCTTCCTGCCCTTTCACAGCTCAGAAAATGACAATGACCAGCCTCATCTCGTTGTGCAGCTGGACATAGACAAGTGCACCAAGAAAAAGAGCCACATCTCTCTAAAGAACATGCCCAGGGCTGCTGAAAGCTGAAAATAACAAATCTCACAGTTTGGGGCTTTTTACCCGTGAATCTTCACTGTGCGACTAAACTATTCACAGCAGTGCCAAATTTTCTAGGTCACTGAATGTGGGTGCCAGCGCCCTACAAGCAAACCAAAAATCAAATCAATGCGACCACTGACATTACAGCTGGGTCATGTTATAGAGAGGTACATTGAAATTCAAAGGTCAGCACAAATGGTCAAAATCAGACATTTTCTCACCTTCCTGCCCGTTCACAGCTCAGAAAATGACAATGACCAGCCTCATCTCGTTGTGCAGCTTGACATAGACAAGTGCACCAAGAAAAAGAGCCACGTTTCTCTAAAGAACTTGCCCAGGGCTGCTGAAAGCTGAAAAATAACCAATCTCACAGTTTGGGGCTTTTTACCCATGAATCTTCACTTTGCGACTAAACTATTCACAGCAGTGCCAAATTTTTTGGGTGACGGAATGTGGGTGCCAGCGCCCTACAAGCAAACCAAAAATCAAATCAATGCGACCACTGACGTTACAGCTGGGTCATGTTATAGAGAGGTACATTGAAATTCAAAGGTCAGCACAAATGGTCAAAATCCGACATTTTCTCACCTTCCTGCCCGTTCACAGCTCAGAAAATGACAATGACCAGCCTCATCTCGTTGTGCAGCTGGACTTAGACAAGTGCACCAAGAAAAAGAGCCACATTTCTCTAAAGAACTTGCCCAGAGCTCCTGAAAGCTGAAAAATAACCAATCTCACAGTTTGGGGCTTTTTACCCGTGAATCTTCACTTTGCGACTAAATTATTCACAGCAGTGCCACATTTTCTGGGTCACTGAATGTGGGTGCCAGCGCCCTACAAGCAAACCAAAAATCAAATCAATGCGACCACTGACATTACAGCTGGGTCATGTTATAGAGAGGTACATTGAAATTCAAAGGTCAGCACAAATGGTCAAAATCCGACATTTTCTCACCTTCCTGCCCGTTCACAGCTCAGAAAATGACAATGACCAGCCTCATCTCGTTGTGCAGCTGGACATAGACAAGTGCACCAAGAAAAAGAGCCACATTTCTCTAAAGAACTTGCCCAGGGCTGCTGAGCCCTGAAAAATAACCAATCTCACAGTTTGGGGCTTTTTACCCGTGAATCTTCACTTTGCGACTAAACTATTCACAGCAGTGCCAAATTTTCTGGGTCAATGAATGTGGGTGCCAACGCTCTACAAGCAAACCAATAATCAAATCAATGCGACCACTGACATTACAGCTGGGTCATGTTATAGAGAGGTACATTGAAAATCAAAGGTCAGCACAAATGGTCAAAATCCGACATTTTCTCACCTTCCTGCCCGTTCACAGCTTACAAAATGACAATGACCAGCCTCATCTCGTTGTGCAGCTGGACGTAGACAAGTGCACCAAGAAAAAGAGCCACATTTCTCTAAAGAACTTGCACAGGGCTGCTGAAAGCTGAAAAATAACCAATCTCACAGTTTGGGGCTTTTTACTCATGAATCTTCACTTTGCGACTAAACTATTCACAGCAGTGCCAAATTTTTTGGGTCACAGAATGTGGGTGCCAGCGCCCTACAAGCAAACCAAAAATCAAATCAATGCGACCACTGACGTTACAGCTGGGTCATGTTATAGAGAGGTACATTGAAATTCAAAGGTCAGCACAAATGGTCAAAATCCGACATTTTCTCACCTTCCTGCCCGTTCACAGCTCAGAAAATGACAATCACCAGCCTCATCTCGTTGTGCAGCTTGACATAGACAAGTGCACCAAGAAAAAGAGCCACATTTCTCTAAAGAACTTGCCCAGGGCTGCTGAAAGCTGAAAAATAACCAATCTCACAGTTTGGGGCTTTTTACCCGTGAATCTTCACTTTGCGACTTAACTATTCACAGCAGTGCCAAATATTTTGGGTCACTAAATGTGGGTGCCAGCGCCCTACAAGCAAACCAAAAATCAAATCAATGCTACCACTGACATTACAGCTGGGTCATGTTATAGAGAGGTACATTGAAATTCAAAGGTCAGCACAAATGGTCAAAATCCGACATTTTCTCACCTTCCTGCCCGTTAACAGCTCAGAAAATGACAATGACCAGCCTCATCTCGTTGTGCAGCTTGACATAGACAAGTGCACCAAGAAAAAGAGCCACATTTCTCTAAAGAACTTGCCCAGGGCTGCTGAAAGCTGAAAAATAACCAATCTCACAGTTTGGGGCTTTTTACCCGTGAATCTTCACTTTGCGACTAAACTATTCACAGCAGTGCCACATTTTCTGGGTCACTGAATGTGGATGCCAGCGCCCTACAAGCAAACCAAAATTCAAATCAATGCGACCACTGACATTACAGCTGGGTCATGTTATAGAGAGGTACATTGAAATTCAAAGGTCAGCACAAATGGTCAAAATCCGACATTTTCTCACCTTGCTGCCCGTTCACAGCTCAGAAAATGACAATGACCAGCCTCATCTCGTTGTGCAGCTGGACATAGACAAGTGCACCAAGAAAAAGAGCCACATTTCTCTAAAGAACTTGCCCAGGGCTGCTGAAAGCTGAAAAATAACCAATCTCACAGTTTGGGGCTTTTTACCCATGAATCTTCACTTTGCGACTAAACTATTCACAGCAGTGCCACATTTTCTGGGTCACTGAATGTGGATGCCAGCGCCCTACAAGCAAACCAAAAATCAAATCAATGCTACCACTGACATTACAGCTGGGTCATGTTATAGAGAGGTACATTGAAATTCAAAGGTCAGCACAAATGGTCAAAATCCGACATTTTTTCACCTTCCTGCCCGTTCACAGCTCAGAAAATGACAATGACCAGCCTCATCTCGTTGTGCAGCTGGACATAGACAAGTGCAGCAAGAAAAAGAGCCACATTTCTCGAAAGAACTTGCCCAGGGCTGCTGAAAGCTGAAAAATAACCAATCTCACAGTTTGGGGCTTTTTACCCGTGAATCTTCACTTTGCGACTTAACTATTCACAGCAGTGCCAAATATTTTGGGTCACTGAATGTGGGTGCCAGCGCCCTACAAGCAAACCAAAAATCAAATCAATTGGACCACTGACATTACAGCTCGGTCATGTTATAGAGAGGTACATTGAAATTCAAAGGTCAGCACAAATGGTCAAAATCCGACATTTTCTCACCTTCCTGCGCGTTCACAGCTCAGAAAATGACAATGACCAGCCTCATCTCGTTGTGCAGCTGGACATAGACAAGTGCAGCAACAAAAAGAGCCACATTTCTCTAAAGAACTTGCCCAGGGCTGCTGAAAGCTGAAAAATAACCAATCTCACAGTTTGGGGCTTTTTACCCGTGAATCTTCACTTTGCGACTAAACTATTCACACCAGTGCCGCATTTGGGTCACTGAATGTGGATGCCAGCGCCCTACAAGCAAACCAAAAATCAAATCAATGCGACCACTGACATTACAGCTGGGTCATGTTATAGAGAGGTACATTGAAATTCAAAGGTCAGAACAAATGGTCAAAATCCGACATTTTTTCACCTTCCTGCCCGTTCACAGCTCAGAAAATGACATTGACCAGCCTCATCTCGTTGTGCAGCTGGACATAGACAAGTGCAGCAAGAAAAAGAGCCACTTTCCTCGAAAGAACTTGCCCAGGGCTGCTGAAAGCTGAAAAATAACCAATCTCACAGTTTGGGGCTTTTTACCCGTGAATCTTCACTTTGCGACTAAACTATTCACGTCAGTGCCAAATTTTTGGAGTCACTGAATGTGGGTGCCAGCGCCCTATAAGCAAACCAAAAATCAAATCAATGCGACCACTGACATTACAGCTGGGTCATGTTATAGAGAGGTACATTGAAATTCAAAGGTCAGCACAAATGGTCAAAATCCGACATTTTTTCACCTTCCTGCCCGTTCACAGCTCAGAAAATGACAATGACCAGCCTCATCTCGTTGTGCAGCTGGACATAGACAAGTGCACCAAGAAAAAGAGCCACATTTCTCTCAAGAACTTGCCCAGGGCTGCTGAAAGCTGAAAATAACAAATCTCACAGTTTGGGGCTTTTTACCCGTGAATCTTCACTTTGCGACTAAACTATTCACAGCAGTGCCAAATTTTTGGGGTCACCGAATGTGGGTGCCAGCGCCCTACAAGCAAACCAAAAATCAAATAAATGCGACCACTGACATTACAGCTGGGTCATGTTATAGAGAGGTACATTGAAATTCAAAGGTCAGCACAAATGGTCAAAATCCGACATTTTCTCACCTTCCTGCCCGTTCACAGCTCAGAAAATGACAATGACCAGCCTCATCTTGTTGTGCAGCTGGACATAGACAAGTGCATCAAGAAAAAGAGCAACATTTCTCTAAACAACTTGCCCGGGGCTGCTGAAAGCTGAAAAATAACCAATCTCACAGTTTGGGGCTTTTTACCCGTGAATCTTCACTTTGCGACTAAACTATTCACAGCAGTGCCAAATTTTTTGGGTCACTGAATGTGGGTGCCAGCGCCCTACAAGCAAACCAAAAATCAAATCAATGCTACCACTGACATTACAGCTGGGTCATGTTATAGAGAGGTACATTGAAATTCAAAGGTCAGCACAAATGGTCAAAATCCGACATTTTTTCACCTTCCTGCCCGTTCACAGCTCAGAAAATGACAATGACCAGCCTCATCTTGTTGTGCGGCTGGACATAGACACGTGCACCAAGAAAAAGAGCCACATTTCTCTAAAGAACTTGCCCAGGGCTGCTGAAAGCTGAAAAATAACCAATCTCACAGTTTGGGGCTTTTTACCCGTGAATCTTCACTTTGCGACTAAACTATTCACAGCAGTGCCACATTTTCTGGATCACTGAATGTGGATGCCAGCGCCCTACAAGCAAACCAAAAATCAAATCAATGCGACCACTGACATTACAGCTGGGTCATGTTATAGAGAGGTACATTGAAATTCAAAGTTCAGCACAAATGGTCAAAATCCGACAATTTTTCACCTTCCTGCCCGTTCACAGCTCAGAAAATGACAATGACCAGCCTCATCTTGTTGTGCGGCTGGACATAGACACGTGCACCAAGAAAAAGAGCCACATTTCTCTAAAGAACTTGCCCAGGGCTGCTGAAAGCTGAAAAATAACCAATCTCACAGTTTGGGGCTTTTTACCCGTGAATCTTCACTTTGCGACTAAACTATTCACAGCAGTGCCACATTTTCTGGGTCACTGAATGTGGATGCCAGCGCCCTACAAGCAAACCAAAAATCAAATCAATGCGACCACTGACATTACAGCTGGGTCATGTTATAGAGAGGTACATTGAAATTCAAAGGTCAGCACAAATGGTCAAAATCCGACATTTTCTCACCTTCCTGCCCGTTAACAGCTCAGAAAATGACAATGACCAGCCTCATCTCGTTGTGCAGCTTGACATAGACAAGTGCACCAAGAAAAAGAGCCACATTTCTCTAAAGAACTTGCCCAGGGCTGCTGAAAGCTGAAAAATAACCAATCTCACAGTTTGGGGCTTTTTACCCGTGAATCTTCACTTTGCGACTAAACTATTCACAGCAGTGCGACATTTTCTGGGTCACTGAATGTGGATGCCAGCGCCCTACAAGCAAACCAAAATTCAAATCAATGCGACCACTGACATTACAGCTGGGTCATGTTATAGAGAGGTACATTGAAATTCAAAGGTCAGCACAAATGGTCAAAATCCGACATTTTCTCACCTTGCTGCCCGTTCACAGCTCAGAAAATGACAATGACCAGCCTCATCTTGTTAGCAGCTGGACATAGACAAGTGCACCAAGAAAAGAGCCACATTTCTCTAAAGAACTTGCCCAGGGCTGCTGAAAGCTGAAAAATAACCAATCTCACAGTTTGGGGCTTTTTACCCATGAATCTTCACTTTGCGACTAAACTATTCACAGCAGTGCCAAATTTTCTGGGTCACTGAATGTGGATGCCAGCGCCCTACAAGCAAACCAAAAATCAAATCAATGCTACCACTGACATTACAGCTGGGTCATGTTATAGAGAGGTACATTGAAATTCAAAGGTCAGCACAAATGGTCAAAATCCGACATTTTCTCACCTTCCTGCCCTTTCACAGCTCAGAAAATGACAATGACCAGCCTCATCTCGTTGTGCAGCTTGACATAGACAAGTGCACCAAGAAAAAGAGCCACATTTCTCTAAAGAACTTGCCCAGGGCTGCTGAAAGCTGAAAAATAACCAATCTCACAGTTTGGGGCTTTTTACCCGTGAATCTTCATTTTGCGAATAAAATATTCACAGTACTGCCACATTTTCTAAGTCACTGAATGTGGATGCCAGCGCCCTACAAGCAAACCAAAAATCAAATCAATGCTACCACTGACATTACAGCTGGGTCATGTTATAGAGAGGTACATTGAAATTCAAAGGTCAGCACAAATGGTCAAAATCCGACATTTTTTCACCTTCCTGCCCGTTCACAGCTCAGAAAATGACAATCACCAGCCTCATCTCGTTGTGCAGCTGGACATAGACAAGTGCAGCAAGAAAAAGAGCCACATTTCTCGAAAGAACTTGCCCAGGGCTGCTGAAAGCTGAAAAATAACCAATCTCACAGTTTGGGGCTTTTTACCCGTGAATCTTCACTTTGCGACTTAACTATTCACAGCAGTGCCAAATATTTTGGGTCACTGAATGTGGGTGCCAGCGCCCTACAAGCAAACCAAAAATCAAATCAATTGGACCACTGACATTACAGCTCGGTCATGTTATAGAGAGGTACATTGAAATTCAAAGGTCAGCACAAATGGTCAAAATCCGACATTTTCTCACCTTCCTGCGCGTTCACAGCTCAGAAAATGACAATGACCAGCCTCATCTCGTTGTGCAGCTGGACATAGACAAGTGCAGCAACAAAAAGAGCCACATTTCTCTAAAGAACTTGCCCAGGGCTGCTGAAAGCTGAAAAATAACCAATCTCACAGTTTGGGGCTTTTTACCCGTGAATCTTCACTTTGCGACTAAACTATTCACACCAGTGCCGCATTTGGGTCACTGAATGTGGATGCCAGCGCCCTACAAGCAAACCAAAAATCAAATCAATGCGACCACTGACATTACAGCTGGGTCATGTTATAGAGAGGTACATTGAAATTCAAAGTTCAGCACAAATGGTCAAAATCCGACAATTTTTCACCTTCCTGCCCGTTCACAGCTCAGAAAATGACAATGACCAGCCTCATCTTGTTGTGCGGCTGGACATAGACACGTGCACCAAGAAAAAGAGCCACATTTCTCTAAAGAACTTGCCCAGGGCTGCTGAAAGCTGAAAAATAACCAATCTCACAGTTTGGGGCTTTTTACCCGTGAATCTTCACTTTGCGACTAAACTATTCACAGCAGTGCCACATTTTCTGGGTCACTGAATGTGGATGCCAGCGCCCTACAAGCAAACCAAAAATCAAATCAATGCGACCACTGACATTACAGCTGGGTCATGTTATAGAGAGGTACATTGAAATTCAAAGGTCAGCACAAATGGTCAAAATCCGACATTTTCTCACATTCCTGCCCGTTCACAGCTCAGAAAATGACAATGACCAGCCTCATCTCGTTGTGCAGCTGGACATAGACAAGTGCAGCAAGAAAAAGAGCCACTTTCCTCGAAAGAACTTGCCCAGGGCTGCTGAAAGCTGAAAAATAACCAATCTCACAGTTTGGGGCTTTTTACCCGTGAATCTTCACTTTGCGACTAAACTATTCACGTCAGTGCCAAATTTTTGGGGTCACTGAATGTGGGTGCCAGCGCCCTATAAGCAAACCAAAAATCAAATCAATGCGACCACTGACATTACAGCTGGGTCATGTTATAGAGAGGTACATTGAAATTCAAAGGTCAGCACAAATGGTCAAAATCCGACATTTTTTCACCTTCCTGCCCGTTCACAGCTCAGAAAATGACAATGACCAGCCTCATCTCGTTGTGCAGCTGGACATAGACAAGTGCACCAAGAAAAAGAGCCACATTTCTCTCAAGAACTTGCCCAGGGCTGCTGAAAGCTGAAAATAACAAATCTCACAGTTTGGGGCTTTTTACCCGTGAATCTTCACTTTGCGACTAAACTATTCACAGCAGTGCCAAATTTTTTGGGTCACCGAATGTGGGTGCCAGCGCCCTACAAGCAAACCAAAAATCAAATCAATGCGACCACTGACATTACAGCTGGGTCATGTTATAGAGAGGTACATTGAAATTCAAAGGTCAGCACAAATGGTCAAAATCCGACATTTTCTCACCTTCCTGCCCGTTCACAGCTCAGAAAATGACAATGACCAGCCTCATCTTGTTGTGCAGCTGGACATAGACAAGTGCATCAAGAAAAAGAGCAACATTTCTCTAAACAACTTGCCCGGGGCTGCTGAAAGCTGAAAAATAACCAATCTCACAGTTTGGGGCTTTTTACCCGTGAATCTTCACTTTGCGACTAAACTATTCACAGCAGTGCCAAATTTTTTGGGTCACTGAATGTGGGTGCCAGCGCCCTACAAGCAAACCAAAAATCAAATCAATGCTACCACTGACATTACAGCTGGGTCATGTTATAGAGAGGTACATTGAAATTCAAAGTTCAGCACAAATGGTCAAAATCCGACATTTTTTCACCTTCCTGCCCGTTCACAGCTCAGAAAATGACAATGACCAGCCTCATCTTGTTGTGCGGCTGGACATAGACACGTGCACCAAGAAAAAGAGCCACATTTCTCTAAAGAACTTGCCCAGGGCTGCTGAAAGCTGAAAAATAACCAATCTCACAGTTTGGGGCTTTTTACCCGTGAATCTTCACTTTGCGACTAAACTATTCACAGCAGTGCCACATTTTCTGGGTCACTGAATGTGGATGCCAGCGCCCTACAAGCAAACCAAAAATCAAATCAATGCGACCACTGACATTACAGCTGGGTCATGTTATAGAGAGGTACATTGAAATTCAAAGTTCAGCACAAATGGTCAAAATCCGACATTTTTTCACCTTCCTGCCCGTTCACAGCTCAGAAAATGACAATGACCAGCCTCATCTTGTTGTGCGGCTGGACATAGACACGTGCACCAAGAAAAAGAGCCACATTTCTCTAAAGAACTTGCCCAGGGCTGCTGAAAGCTGAAAAATAACCAATCTCACAGTTTGGGGCTTTTTACCCGTGAATCTTCACTTTGCGACTAAACTATTCACAGCAGTGCCACATTTTCTGGGTCACTGAATGTGGATGCCAGCGCCCTACAAGCAAACCAAAAATCAAATCAATGCGACCACTGACATTACAGCTGGGCCATGCTATAGAGAGGTACATTGAAATTCAATGGTCAGCACAAATGGTCAAAATCCGACATTTTCTCACCTTCCTGCCCGTTCACAGCTCAGAAAATGACAATGACCAGCCTTATCTTGTTGTGCAGCTGGACATAGACAAGTGCACCAAGAAAAAGAGCCACATTTCTCTAAAGAACTTGCCCAGGGCTGCTGAAAGCTGAAAAATAACCAATCTCACAGTTTGGGGCTTTTTACCCGTGAATCTTCACTTTGCGACTAAACTATTCACAGCAGTGCCACATTTTCTGGGTAACTGAATGTGGATGCCAGCGCCCTACAAGCAAACCAAAAATCAAATCAATGCTACCACTGACATTACAGCTGGATCATATTATAGAGAGGTACATTGAAATTCAAAGGTCAGCACAAATGGTCAAAATCCGACATTTTCTCACCTTCCTGCCCGTTCACAGCTCAGAAAATGACAATGACCAGCCTCATCTTGTTGTGCAGCTGGACATAGACAAGTGAACCAAGAAAAAGAGCCACATTTCTTTAAAGAACTTGCCCATGGCTGCTGAAAGCTGAAAAATAACCAATCTCACAGTTTGGGGCTTTTTACCCGTGAATCTTCACTTTGCGACTAAACTATTCACAGCAGTGCCGCATTTGGGTCACTGAATGTGGATGCCAGCGCCCTACAAGCAAACCAAAAATCAAATCAATGCGACCACTGACATTACAGCTGGGTCATGTTATAGAGAGGTACATTGAAATTCAAAGGTCAGCACAAATGGTCAAAATCCGACATTTTTTCACCTTCCTGCCCGTTCACAGCTCAGAAAATGACAATGACCAGCCTCATCTCGTTGTGCAGCTGGACATAGACAAGTGCACCAAGAAAAAGAGCCACATTTCTCTAAAGAACTTGCCCAGGGCTGCTGAAAGCTGAAAATAACAAATCTCACAGTTTGGGGCTTTTTACCCGTGAATCTTCACTTTGCGACTAAACTATTCACAGCAGTGCCAAATTTTTGGGGTCACCGAATGTGGGTGCCAGCGCCCTACAAGCAAACCAAAAATCAAATCAATGCGACCACTGACATTACAGCTGGGTCATGTTATAGAGAGGTACATTGAAATTCAAAGGTCAGCACAAATGGTCAAAATCCGACATTTTCTCACCTTCCTGCCCGTTCACAGCTCAGAAAATGACAATGACCAGCCTCATCTTGTTGTGCAGCTGGACATAGACAAGTGCATCAAGAAAAAGAGCAACATTTCTCTAAACAACTTGCCCGGGGCTGCTGAAAGCTGAAAAATAACCAATCTCACAGTTTGGGGCTTTTTACCCGTGAATCTTCACTTTGCGACTAAACTATTCACAGCAGTGCCAAATTTTTTGGGTCACTGAATGTGGGTGCCAGCGCCCTACAAGCAAACCAAAAATCAAATCAATGCTACCACTGACATTACAGCTGGGTCATGTTATAGAGAGGTACATTGAAATTCAAAGGTCAGCACAAATGGTCAAAATCCGACATTTTCTCACATTCCTGCCCGTTCACAGCTCAGAAAATGACAATGACCAGCCTCATCTCGTTGTTCAGCTTGACATAGACAAGTGCACCAAGAAAAAGAGCCACATTTCTCTAAAGAACTTGCCCAGGGCTGCTGAAAGCTGAAAAATAACAAATCTCACAGTTTGGGGCTTTTTACCCGTGAATCTTCACTTTGCGACTAAACTATTCACAGCAGTGCCACATTTTTGGGGTCACCGAATGTGGGTGCCAGCGCCCTACAAGCAAACCAAAAATCAAATCAATGCGACCACTGACATTACAGCT